AGCCAATTAAAGGAGTTCCTTGTTAAAAAAATACTGCCGTAGAAAATTAACCAAGGTTCGTGGGAATTGAGAGAAGAGGAAACTCGCCGAGTAGAGTAGTAGGGAGAGAAGGAGGAGGAGAATGGGTTAGGGATGCTTAAAAAGCTTTGGAAATACAAGCCAATGGGGGCGCAAAGTGCACTGGCGTAAATCGGCTGAGCCGAGCTGACGTTGCGGCGATGCTGGTGCTGCTGCTCTTATATATATATGTGGCATGCGTGTAGAGAGCTGTAAAAGAGCTGAAAGTCTGATTACTCATCTTCTATGTACACGTACACATCTACACACACGCACACTCGTACGCGAGCAGAGCATTTTATACTTTCTTTTCTCTCTCTATCCCTTTCCTTTTTTCTATTTCTTTTTCGTCAGCAAAGACTAGTGCTCGCATGCATATATATGTACATGTGCACGCCAGCGTGTTCTCAGCTTTCATATCTGTATATTTTTCCTATAATCTTTTACCGAATCAAAACTTTAATCGATTTTTTTGCAGCTCTCGATGATTGACAAGGCACCTTTGTGACGCCTCCGACGCATATAGTGTACGTTTCTATAGCCGTGTAATACTCACGCACGCGCACGCGCTCGTGTGTGTGCGTGTGTGCGTCTATTGATGAAAGTAATTTTTTTCTTTTTTTCTTTTTTTAGTTCTGCGCTACTCTCGGGAGCTTTGCGTTTCGGATTCGAGGCACGTTGACGTTATAAATATGCTTCGGTCGCACGTACATATCAATGACTGGATTTTTTTTCAAAGAAATAGACTATTTTAGATGTAAATTTTTACCTCGACTTCTTTTTTTTTCATAACCCACACTGATTTCGTACTTTACGTATACATACGCGGTACCAGTAGTAGTAACAGCAGCAGTAGAGCATACAAAAGCTAGTGGAAAAAGCAACGTACGGTCAGACTCACATGTTTCAGCTATAATCCTACCCTCAACACGAACTTTTTTTTTCAAACAAATTCTCTATGTAATTCTCGATAAAAAGAATGCCCGGTTTCGGTGATCCGACTAACACTTTTGTGCACACGTGCGAGCCTTACATACATTTTTCAATATATGAATGGCTGTTTTGACTTTAAAGTTTTTTTTTAACAATAGCCATAATAACTTTACGACCAAAGCCAACAGCGCATTGTGCACTTTGTAAATTCGCACTTTGACTCTCGAACGCTCGTAACAAGCAGTACTTCATCGATCCATCGACTCTTTGACCGGAAAACACGAAAGCTCGAAAGCTCTAAAGCTATCGTAGACAATTCATAATTTTGCTTTGCTTGCTCGAAAAATAGACTCGAGCGAGAGGTAAAGAATTGTAATCACGAGTTCAAAGAAACTTCAAGAGTCGGAAGTAAGAAAAAAAAAATTGTTTGGCTTCATGTAATTCCGAGGAATTATAATAACAATCGTTTTTATGAGTTTTACAATGCGAATAAAATTAAATCGTGCAGTAATGCAGAAACGACTATCCAAGCTGCTCGCTGGCGCAAAAACCCTGATATAAGCTCTCTTTCCGCGAACTGCCACCGAGGTATATATACTAGCATATTTTTAAAAGATTCGCGCAATTATGCACGTAAATTCGGGCGACGATATATCTATAGGACATCTAGCAATGACTATGACGACGACGACGACGATGACGACGACGACAACTTTGTACTTGATGAAAGTCGTTATCGTTTCTTTTTTCGTAGCGCAACTGCGCGCGGGGGTATAAAGTCGAGTGTTTTCGCTGCGACGACGACGCAGAGCTACCTCGTTGAGCGGAAAATTACAAGCGAGCATAATGAAATTTTTTTTCTGCTCTCTCTTTCTTCTCTTTTGCTCCCCGTGTAACAAGGTTGTATAACACATCTCGCGTCACACATTCTTTTTGCATGTAATACACAAGAAAATCGTTTCGTAGCGGAAATAAACGTTAAACGAAATCTCATTTGCATACGTAATTAGGATGTAAGTAAAAAAAAAAGAAAGAAAGGAAAGAAATAAGGAAGAGAAGAATTCCTCGTACAGGAGAATAAAAATTCGGAAAGTTTTGACAGTCTGCTTCTTCTTATTCCGCGAGTCGAGCAAGTTATATACACACACCTCTTGGTCCGGCTTGAGCGCGTATAAAAAGTCGAGCGAGGGCGTGCATGCCGGACTGCTCTCAGGGAAAAGCAAAAGTTGCATGTGGGTTGGTGGAAAAAGCAAGTTTCCTCGTTATCGTTATTCGTCATTTTGTTCCGTCTGCTTCTCGGGACGATTTAGGACCCTCGTGGCTTCTTCGCGAGAGCTCCCGTAGCTGAAACTTTTGATGATAATCTAATTTTTTTTCCCGCACCCTGTGTCAGCTTCCTTGTTCTCCATACATTCTTCGACGAGACAAAATAGAAGGTGACTTTTACTCGAATAATTTGGCGCTTTTGCGTAGAGTGATCTCTCGTTTTTTTCTGTTTTTCGTTTTATTTCTTATCATTTTTTTTTCTCGATCATTTACTGTGATTCATTTATCGTTTTTGAATACTTTTTTACTCTTACTGCTCTTTATATTTTTTATCTCTCTAGCTAATTCAGCACCTTTAAGATACTTTCACAGGTTCCGCACTTGCAAAGATTTTTAATTAAGCTCGAAAGAATCGTTATTGCTATATTACCGGGCAAGCTTTATAATTTTGCTCTACTTGCAAACTCTTTGTAATCTGTGCCATTTTCTTCTTTGTTAAACTGTAAACATTTTTTCTATACTTTGTAATATTAATGCTCTTATTATGCTCGTAAAATAATTTTTGCTAGTGCATCGCAAAATTAAGACTAAAATGAAATCTTTGTATAAAGTTTCTTTTGTGGTTCTAATGAAGGTACTTTTTACAAACCAAAAAATATGTTTATTATTCGGGGGTTGATATAGGAAAATTGAGGCCTCGCATTTGTTTTTCTTTCTTTCACTGTCCCAAGTTCAAGTTTATTTTTGTATGTGCGTTAACGAGGTCGGCATCTTCGAGAGTCCTACAAATACGGCTCAAATAAAGCAGCGTCATGAGTACACAATATTATATACGGATAGCTATGGCAGCAACGTCGCACTATATTCGCTCGAATACGTGTTTTGCGTGCGTATAATGAGCTGTATCGTAATAAGCCTGTGGATAAGATCACAAACAACGAATAAACTAAATTATAAACGATCATTGATTGCATTAAAAAATGAAAATTCAGAATATTTGAGACCTGTATTCATGAATTTAAAATAAAATGTGGATGTTGAATGGAAATTTGTAAAAATCGATCAAATTCTTATCTTAGGCTATGCTTTGTTATTTTTTCTAAGCGACCAAACAGCTATAAAAAATCATAAGAGGTAATAAATTTTAAAAATGTTCACCTTTCAACGCAATATCAGAATATGTATTTAGTCCATTCTTCATTGTGCGGTCTTATCGCGCTTAGTAGGGTGCGGTCCATATACGCATATGTGCGTACGCGTGCGCGCACGCAGCTACGGTATATATTATTGCTCGTGTGTGTGTATACGTCGCTCTCGTAGTTGCCATGCAAGGCCAAACGACTAACAAACGAGCGTTGGGAGTAGACGTAAAATTAGCCCGGCTAAATCACTGATGCGCGCACGCTTCGTGTTACGCGCTGATAAGCTTAGAATCAACTTTCCTCTCTCTTTCTCTCTCTCTCTCTCTCTCTCTATTCCTCTTATTTCTCTCATATACGTGTATGTGTCATATTATATAGCTTCATGAAGTAATTATCCTTGTCACATAAATGCGAACAAACTTTTTTTTTTTGTTCAAGAGCGAATGAGTTGCAACAAATAATTTTCGCCTTTATTTATTTATACGAGAAGAAGAAATAGGAAGAAAGACAAGAGAAAAGAGAGAGAGGTAGAGAGGTAGAGTGGAAGAGAGAGAGAGAACAGCACTTTGCAGGCTTGAAAAAGTTCCAAAGTTCGCAGGCCATATAACGCGAGTCGCACCTCCATATTTTCTTGTTATACACTTTTATGTATGCGACCGCGCGCATATAGCTGCCAGTACATACTTTACCACCATCCGCGTATGCACCTTGGCCAAATAAGTTTAGCCCGAGCTTGTTCTGAAAATTTGCTTATGCTTTATGGGATGGGACTTGTTACGTACCAGGCGCGCGAGCGCGTCTCGGGCGCGGTGGCGGTGCGATGGCCGAGGGAAATGTACGTTGTTTTTTATTTATCCGCATAATGTTTTCGCGCGCACGGGTTAGGGAAGGATATAAAAACAAAGTTTTGCGGCACTGCACCCATATAGTTTAACCGAGAAATCATTGAAATGAAAAAGTAATAAAAAAAATTGCTCGATGTCGCTTTTTTTCTTAATGTATCTTTTTATATATTATATATACTGTATTATATCGTGCAGGCGTATACGAGTTTAAGTAGCAGTGGAAAACTCATAAAGCGCGTTAAACGATTGCGTCTGACAGGATACCGAGCCGAATCACTGGATTGCTTTAATTAAATATACTGTCGCTGTATATACCTACGTCTTTTCTTTTTATTAAATAACGTGCAGCAGTTGTAAATAAGCTGATCGAAGGAACTCGTACTTTTTTTTCGTCCACGAGCGCGATAAAAGAGTTTCGCCACATTGACGTAATTTTTTTCTCGTTACTTATACCTCGCCCGATTAATTATCTAAGGCGACGCGAGCTGCCGATATTACAACGATGACGACGCGAAAGATCAATTTTCTGCTCGGATTTTACTTGTCATTTCCGATGTCGTTTGCTGGATGACGTTTTTTTTTCTACTGCTCACAGCTCCTTTATTTTTCCTCGGAGCAATTTAACTTTTATTTTTCGAGAAAAAATACCTCACGGCACAGAATCCAGCGCTCTCTTTTCCCCAAGATAAATACGAATGAGGGCAGCTTAAATCCTGATAATTATAAAATCATTCGGAGCCAATGTGATTTGTCGTACCTGTGGATAATCGCCCTCCTTCATTTGATAATCGAAAACGTAAAAGTAGGTCTTGGGCTGGTTCTTGTCGTCGTGCGACGAGCCACCGTGTCCAGCCGATTTTCCGGTGTGCCGAAGCGTGAACAGATCACCGGTCTGAACGAGCGGGGCGACGAATTGTGCATCGCTCAGGGCCTGGATACAAGCGTCCCGAGTGTTCACTGGATGCTGCACTGTGCGTTCCCAGTCCGTATACTCATTGACGATCTGCGGAAAAAAGCCATTTATAAAGACCAAATTTCCATGAAAATCGCTCGTGTGCATGAGGTTATTTCATTATAAAAGGACAAACGTTATGGTTTTTTTCAAAACCATAACTTATACAATTTTTTTACTTTACTACTTGTGGTTTTTTTAGATAAAGATACTCGCCATCTAGTGGTGGAGAGTAGCGTTATCTTATTTGAAGTTCTTGAAAACTGGTTAAATTTATTGAATTATCACTTTGAGGTAATTTCAAACGCGCTTACTATTTGTAAAATATTCGGCATAGTCATAAAAAATAGGTCAATTAATGGTCATGCACTTTAAAATTGAATTATAGTAAAAATTCTTATATATGATTCGGATACATTGCAAAAAATTTTGTTAGATGCGTGGACGCGAAAAATTTACCCGTTATTTTTTTCTCGTGGGTAACTGTTTAGTGCAAGTACTATCTGCGGATCTTAATTATGACATTTATAGCGATTTCAGAAACGTTCGATTAACAGCGCGTAAAATTTAATATTCAACGGGTTTTTGACTGAATATTTGTACATATTGTGTCAGCGAGTAAAATCAGCAAAAACAGTAGATACGTATTTTTGTTTTCATATGCGCGAGTACTTATTTGTATGCGTCACACATGCACGAAGAACATCGAGTTTGTTGACCAATTACTCACAAGCGTCTCGCATAATTATTCCAATGAAAAAGGTTTTCCAATTTATTGGCCCCCGTGTTGATATTTGATTAATTTCGGTTCACTTTTTTCACGAAGCCAGATCCCGATCAGTTTATTATTATTATACGCGGGGCAAGGGCGGGGTGGCCACACGCTGTTTTCGATATAGAGGCGAGTTGGCTCGGCCGCGCGCCCGCGCTCGCGAGGACGTATTTAATTTGTTTGTGTATTATATACCGCCGCCGCACGATATCGCGTCGAGGATGTAACGCCGCGAGTGGCCCCAAAGTTAACAACGACGCCGAAATATAATTAGGTCAAGCGCCACTTGGCCGTGTGCGTTATAAGTACTGCCGCTGCACACTCGTACATTTACCCCCCCATCGAGGTCGAATAAATGCTTAAAACATTCGCGCGCTAGCCATGCTATATTGCGCACGCGTATTTATCCGTAATCGATATAATACGCGCATACGTATACAGTGTAGCGACTCGGCCCACCGAAGGGAATTAAGAGTGTCCTGTCTCTCTGCGCGTTCATTATTAGATATTGTACGTGCTTACATTCTTTGATACTTTTATGGTATTTGCATTATAAAAAAATTAATATTTATAGATATGTTTAAGATAACCAACCGTATAAAATATTTCCGTCAGGTGGTACATGTAGGCGTTGCGGACGTAGGTCCGGATTATTCGGTCCCTTCGCTCGCCCTCGAAGCCCTTCTGCACGTCGCGTTCGGCGAACTTCCACAGAGCCTCGTTCGTCGTCACGCCGAACAGCAGGTCGTACTTGTTGTTGCTCGTTATCGTCTCGCCGTGCTCGGCTCGCTTCGATGCGTATCTGTCGAAAAAGAGATCACAGTGCTATTATTGAACTTTCTTTTCATGAAAATTCTTGTGGGCATATTCGTTGGGCAGACTAGTGCGCAAGGAACAAGCGAGCGAGATTATCTTAGGAGTACAGTTTTTACGCCTTATATATGATTGGCCGACGCTTCTGTTGAGGCGAGTATCAAATGTTTTTCTGACACTTGCTTGCGGCACAATTGCTGCGAGTGTTCGTGCGAGTTGCTTTCCCAGTTGAAAAAAATTGCGTCGATTTCTACGTGGATTATCCACGCAGATTTCGCATGGAAAGTACGTGGATTCTACAAGGAAAGTGCATCGATTCCAAGTAGAATCTGCGTGGATCATTTTTGTAAAAATCTGCCAAGATTTTTTGGTTATCTCTTGAAGAATTAATTCCACGCTCGTATCCTTTTTCAAGGAATAATCGAAAAATCTTAGCAGATTTTACAAAAATGATCCACGCAGATTCCACATGCAATCAATGCACTTTTCTAGTGGAATCCACGTACTTTCCACACGGAATCTGCCTGGATAATCCACGTAGAAATCCATGCAATTTTTTCTTAACTGGATTATCAAACAACTTACTAATAAATTCAATATATATTAATTAATTCATCAAAGTACTTCCGATGATTTGATCATTGGATATCCGATAGGTACTCAAAGTGAATCTTTTGGGTCTTATTTAACAAAAGGGTTTATTTTTAATACTTTTAAAGTGAATTTATTAGATTCATTAAACTTTTATGTAAAAACTAATACTTCAAAATTCATTTTGTGTTATACAAGATTTATCGAAACTTAAAATGTTAGATTTGATTATGAGCTTTTCGATCCTACCAATAGATCGAGTATTATAAATTTGCAAGTGGAAACAAAATGTCATTATATAAGATCAAAGGATCTATACCTGATTTCCTATAATTGTGGGTTACCTTGATAGCAATATTTTTCTTTTTCCTAAATAATTTCAAAATTTTTATCACGGCACCATTCTCATATATGTAGTGTATCTTTTCCTGCTTCCATTATTACCATTCATCAAGGTAAATGGACATGTTTCTAACTTAGCTCGACATCAACACCTCTTTCAAAAATTGGGTGCACAACCGAACTTAGCCTCACAAATTTATGACAGCTCTTTGTTTATTTTCAGGTTGTCAAGCAATTCGCAGTGCTAAGCAACTTTTTGCCAGACTTTTTTTTACACGGGTTGTATGTCAGGTTTCAGAATCACAGTGGAGATCTTGCTTTGATCCACCGTCAGTTAAATAAAGCCTAATATAATAGAATATTCATTCATTTTTAAAGGTTCATACAAATAAAATTCAATGCTCTATCTTGTGCGCCAAACGCGTCCCTACGACCATACGTTCAGCTATACCCGTAACACATGCACAAGAGGTATACGTGTGCGAGCAAGTTGCGTAGTGTACAGCGTACCGTTATCTTTCTCTCAGTGGTACATGTACGCGAGCGAAGATTTACCACGCGAGGTTCGGCCTGCGGAACGATCAGAGGCAATAGCAACGTCGGGTGACGAATGTTTCGGCGCAGTCAAAGTTATTTATCTACGACTTTTCCATCCCATTCGAGCATTAGTTTTCCGCACGACCTGCGTATACTACTATACACGTATGTACCCTCTCAAGCCTAGATTGTTCGGTGGATTTTGCTGATAAATAATACCCGGACAAGAGAGCACTTGTCTTCGTGCAGATCGACTTATACCGCTGCAAAGATGAGTTTTTGAGAAGAACGACTCCTTCACGCATCTGTAAAATTGCTCTATTGTCGAGTGCGCATGATAAGATGCAATGATCAAGAGTTGTGTCCATTTTCTCTTCATCCGCAAGTTTGTCGAATCTTGAATTTCCCGAGCAGTTTCGTTTACCTATATAGGAACAGGTACAAACGCACAGACGCGAAGCTCGTGCGTAGCTGCTTTATATTCCCCGGGGACTGATCATTATTATGCATGAATATTTCGCCCTGCGCCTCGACCTCCTCTCCTTCACTTTTCACGCTCGATACATACATGTATACATCGGCGCATAATTATAACATTTACCGCGTATAATACGCGAAAGTAAAAGAGCCGCGTGGACGGTCCGAGTGTGTGTATAAGGGACGAACTCGCCAGTTAGTTGGCGACAAAGCCACCTATACACGTGCGTATGTACATAATAACTGCGGTACAGCTCTCGTAGTGACTCAGCAGCAGCAGCAGCTCGCACACTCAAACGTACATACGTAGGCCGCGCAGCGCACCGTTGGCGTATTATATGTATTATGCAGCTGAACGTGTACCTTTCAGCTCGTAATTACAGATTTTCTCTAGCGAATTACAATTTTACGCCGAGCTATTGTGTAAATTAACGCCGGCACACGCGCGGCGCGGTCATTCATCGAGCGCTTGAATTGTGGTCGCGAGGAGGCCGCGCGAATAATTATTACTTTATGCGGGCGCGAGTTCGAGCCTCATTGTTTACATTATCGCATTAATCATTCGCCATATACGAGCGGGCACATTACATTATAATATGCGTCGCGCTTCTGGGGGCAGTTTTTATTAGATGATTTATAATAAAATAATACTCGTATAAATGGCCAGGACAAGTGGAACGAGAAACTCACCCGTAGCCCTGGAACTCGGGTCCGAGGTAGGACAGCAGATCCTTCTTGAAGTCGGGCTTGATGACGACGCCGTCCACGCTGGGCCCGAAGGCGCTGAGAAAGGTGGGCGGCTTGAGGTCGGCGCGCATCAGCGCCTCGAGGCTGCTCTCGCGCAGGCAGTCCACCAGCAGCTCGTGATCCTTGATCAGGTCCGCGGGCACCGAGCAGTTGACGGCCCTGGCGAGTTTGAGCGCGTACGAGGCCGGCTCGTCCACCACTGCCCAGCTGGATAGGGCGCTGCCCGATAATAGGATTGCTCGCTTGAACAGACCTGCGCATGCAGACAGCACACAACGCACAAAGAGAGAAAGAGATGGATCAAGTTTCGCTTTATATATTATATAATTCTGTTATATATCGTATTAGAGAGTGTGTGTGTGTGTGTGTGTGTAGGTGCGTACGTGAATAGGATATAACAGCCGGCACCCCCGCACTGCTATACGAGCGCCCAACTATGTATATTATTACACGTGCGCCGTGAATATTATAAACTGTTGTGTTGCTGCAGCCGAATTCACTAACTATGTTTCAGGAAGAGAGATAGTGAGAGTTTCGCAACTGAAGGCTTCCCAGCTTTTTGTGTGCGGCTGAGCCTGTTCGCATATTATTCTGCCTCTCCCTCTCTCTCGCTCTCGTCGACATTTTATTTCCTCTTGGTCTGCTGCAGCATAAAGTTTTCCTATTTTTTTTCATTTCTTTTTTTTTTTATATAAAAATGAACCTCGGCTAATATTACACACAATACGTGGACGAGCGCGCGCGAGGAATTACGAATGAAAAATACGAGCTTGCCGGGCCTCGTCTCTCTCTCCCTTAGTTTGCTTCCCGTAACACAGAGCTGTAGAGCTAGCTGGGCGGATTGCCTTTGGATTCTATTAGTGTGCCAGACCACGCGGGTGCTCCGAGAGAGAGAGAGAGATTCGCAAAATCTCGAGTATTATATATACTCGGATAATTCCTATCCATTACATCGTAACAAAGGCTGCAACCACGTCTCGAGCTCGCGCGTGACTAAATCCCTCTTCGCAGTTGTATATAAATGACTCTGTGTATTATTGGGTGCGTGCAAAATCCGAAACGATTAAGTCAGTCGTTGTTGCCGAGAGAGCGCGAAGTGAAATTTAGATCGATGTTGGTTCTTGCTCGAACGATCATCTCCGTATACGGTTTATGCATGCACGATAATAGCTCGCGAATTTAGACAAATCGTAATGATATTTCAAAAATTCTTACCGGACATGACGGTCGGACTGATGGCGAGGAAATTGACGCAGGCCGCCCCCGTGCCCTGGCCCATGAGGGTCACGTTGCTCGGATCGCCACCGAAATACTCGACGTTCTGCTGTATCCAGTGCAGCGCCGCGATCTGATCCATGAGGCCGTAATTGGCCACTCGGGCCTTGGTGTGGGGCGACACGTTGGCGTTGAGAAAGCCCAGCACCCCGAGGCGATAGTTGATCGTGATGACGACCTGGTCGCTGTAGGCCGCGAGCACCGAGCCGTCGTAGGTGTTGCCGCTGCCCCAGTCGTAGCTCTCGCCGTGAATGAACACCAGCACCGGATGCCTGCGGCCACCCTCCGACATGCCTGCAGCAAAGCCAAAAAAGATACGGACAGAAATTAGAGATCGTGCGTTTAAATTATATACTTTTTATTTTTAATCTCGCGTGTCTAGCTCGCCAGCTATGTTGGTAAAACTTTCGACCGGTACGTTAATTCCCGGCTGCTTTCGGGGCAGGCAATGAACTTGATTTTAGAGCTTGCTAGCTCGGCCGCGTCAGCTATTCGAAACTCGTAACGAGTTTACGAGGTTGGTTGAAAATAAAAAAAAAAGCCGTCAAGCAACTAGTAAATTTAGCGTTCAACCACTTGCATGGATGTATGCGAGAGTAGATGTGGGTAACATCGTACATTTTGCGGAGGGTCTAATCGGCTTATCAATGTGTTCGAGTTCTCACTTTGAATAAATCATCGGTGGAAGTCGGGAAGAGGGGGGGGGGGGGNGGGGGGGGGGGGGGGGGGGGGGGGGGGGGGGGAGGAGAAGGTCGTACACGCACTCCTAGCTTACACACACATAAACACATGTATATATTACGGTCGAACTTTGCACGATCACTCTTGAAAAGTTGCCGCATAATATACTAGAAGTGAGTGGCCAAGTGAGCAAAAGCACACACACAGAGTCTTGCGGTTATTCCGGTCGTGTTGGTAGCCACTTGGAACAAAGCCTGTGCAGAGAGAGAAAGAGCATCGAAGGAAAGAGAGATAGAGATAGAGAGATAGAGAAAGCTGTGTCGTCGAGATAGGACAGACCTTAAGCTCTGTACGGTAGCTGCTTAATTAAAATTACAGGTTGCCAAATCCACACACGGGAAGGAGAAAAAATTAAAAAATAATTACAAAAAATATGAAAAAAATACAAAAAAAGAAGAAATGGAGAAAACTAACTTTTTATTTATTGCTATTAGCTGTTAATCGCGCGACGCGATCGCAGCAAAACTCGGCTTATACGTGCAATATGCATGGCAAGCACACCTTTCCATTAGCAACAAACTAAGTGGAACTATCGATGAAACACACATACACACTCGCGTGTGCAAGAATTGCAGCGCGCGTTGGTGGCTGCGGCTGCTTGTCACACGTAAAAGTTCAAATTTCCTCGTGCTATATATCGAGCTATAGCAAGTGAACTCGCTGCGTGCGTGCATAAACTTCCAAAGACACTCGAGCCACTTGGGAGGAATGTGCATGCCCAATATGTGTGTGCGAACTGCGCGTGCTAGGATAGCAGCTACGAGGGTGAAATCTACAGGCAAAGCTGCGGATATAGAGGCAGAGAGAAAGAGAGATAGAGAGGGAGGGGCATGGGGGGATGCCTCGCATTAAATTCGGTAACAAACGGGAAACGTACGAATGAGTATACCGAGTCAAAGAGACCCATTTGATTAACCGCGAAATTCACTGAAAATATCTCCAGGAATTTCTTCGTCGGGTGAGAGAGCGAACAAAATAGAGAGAGAGAGAGAGAGAGAGAGAGAGAGAGAGAGAGAGAGAGAGAGAGAGAGAGATGCAGAGATGGAGCGAGATATATAGCAAGGAGTCTCGACGTACAAGAGAGAGAATGAGCACGAGGGCGCATAGTAAGAGGCAAAAACGTCGAGGTAGCAGGCGTTGACGAGGAAGCAATGCCACCGCTATAGTAGTGCTGCTGCGCTATATACGATGCAAAGGTATATACAGAGAAGAGGAGAGAGAGAAGTCGAGTCATAATAGCAGCAGCTCCATCGCTAAACAAAAGCTGAGGCGTGTTGACCACGCGTCTGGCCCTACAGAATGGCCGCAACCTCCGTGGAATATATTTACAATATATAGATAGGGCTGCTCTGTGCGTGCGTGTATGGGTGTATAATGCTGAGACTACTCGTGTGTTTGTGTACTCGTGTACGTGTACGTGCATACATGCGTAAACGATTTTAGACACACGCACGCACGCACACACAAGCTCGCGTGGTCAAGCCCCTGAAACGAAGCCCGGCAGTCATTGGCCTTTAAAGAGCTTATATGCAGTAGTAGCTCAACAGAGGACCCGGCGCGCGACTAGTATCAACGTATTTTCCACCCTGTTATTTCAATCTCTATACATGTTTCAGTTCGACGCGCGCTTCAATTTGCTCTCTATCTCTCTCTCTCTCCCTTTCTTTCTCTTTTTCTCTCGTGCGCTCGTGTATGTACGCGCCCATCGCAACGAGAAAAAGAAAAATTCTCTGTCACGCCTATGGAGTTTTCAATTTGAGCCTCGTTAATAATTAATGCCGGCATTAATGCAACTTGCGCTAGCCTCGAAGGGAGGAAAAGCATCTCTCTCTCTCTCTCTCTCGCCTCGGTCACTCTCACAACGCACCCGTAAGAGCGAGACCGAGAGCAGAGCCAAGAGCTTGCAAGAGTATGCAGTACGCTCAGCGCGGAGCTCAGCAGTGCGCGCCTGCACCGAGTGAAAATTTTTCAAGGGGTTCTTACGCGCAGAGGCGAGTAATTATCATTAAACGCGAAAGTGCAGAAAAAAACCTTGCTTAGAGCTTCTCGGACTCATCCCCCTTCCGTCCTTGTTTTTCTCGGTTTTTAATGTTTGATCATCCTCGACGTTGTTGGGTATACAGTGTAGAGAGAGAGAGAAATAAGAAAGCTCAATGACCCCTGTAAAGCGCCGTCGACGAGCAATGATGGGTGTTACCTGTATCTCTCTACGTGCAGCGGAGCACACCTATACATTGCAGCTGGAAGAAGAAAAGATAAAGGCGCGTCTAGCGCTCGACTTCGCTTAGGTATAAGTGCTGCTAGCCCTCTTTTATACTACAAGCGCTCGTTTTTTTTGGTTAAGGAAAGGGGGGTGGGGAGGGGAGGGCGCCCCCTAAATAACACGACAGCTCCCGCTAGCTCTAGGCACGGGCTTAATTTGCTCGAGCTGATTATTGCACTGCTCAAAGAGAGCAAACGGAATTTACAAGAACTCTTGGTTGGGAATCAGCTGCAAGCTCTAGGCTATGTGTGTACGCATAATGTTGTATGTATGTATGTATACGTGTACTTCAGCTAGGTGCGCAGAGCTATATAGAGTATAGCGCATACCGAGATGAAAATAATTTACCGAGTTGCTCAGGCCGCTCGTATACCGCGTTCAGCGAGCGAGTATATAACGATTTGAAAGTATATATTTCCGAGTTTTTTATGAATTCTCTCGCGAGCTCGTTTACAAATGAAAAAACGACTTAATGAAGCTGGAGCAAAAAAAATTTCGCCTCCCGCCTTAGCACGAGTATTCACTTGGCCCTCTGCAAAGCATTTGAAAAAAAGTTGCTGCTGCTTGCGACGCGCGCATTGTGTATGTTTGCAATATCTCGAGACTCGATGTACGCGCGGCGCAATGCACGACAAGGTGCGCCACGGTGCATCCGACAATATTGACTTTTAGGTGGAGACGGGGAGAGTTGGAAAGAGGAGCCGGAGGAAGTGAACTAATATCGACGTCAACATTTTCTTTGTTACTGGCCCTGCGTATCGAATCGTATAGCTTTTACTGTTTAGATGACGTTTCAACGGTGTAAACGTTGTAAACGTTAAAAATTTAATAGTTATTTATTATTTGTATGTTGAATGGCTCGACGACTCTTTTTATCCTCGATCGCAAGTCTTGAGCTTCGGTAACGGATATCAAGATATAACGCTTCTGGTCGAAATGCTCATTATGATGCCGATCTGATGTCCAAAATATAATCATTTAAAAGGTTTTATAAGATATTGGATTTTTTGGAAAATTTTTTGTTTCAATTTTGTTAAAAACATTAGGCGCATTTTAAATGACCTGAAAATGACATTTTTGTTTCAAAAAATGTACACCAGTTTTCAACCACTTGGAATATGATATCACTTCGAGCTTTCACCACTAGATAGCGAGTACCTTTATCTATAAATCTGCAAGTGACCATAACAATGTATCTCTTTATAATGCCAATAAAATTGACTACTTCTTGAAAAACTAACACTCAAGTTTGAGTAGACCATCTTAGTGTAGACCATGATTGTAATTGAATTTCATATGGATCTTAAAATCGGTAATGATGAGATATATAGCCCTTATAAGCTTATAAGAACTATATCAGTTAGTTCAAGTCCTGACGTTGAACCCCCTTCGTATCCTATACTCGTTAGCCGTCATTATTTGCATTAAATTATCTAATTACTATTTTGCATCCAATTAATATTTAGATCTACTTCAACGGTGGTACGCAGCCGTCATAACGATGCGAATAATACATTTTTCTGTTTAATACTAATGGCCTGTTCAATTATTCAATTGTACACAGTCCAGCACCCCTTTATAACTATAATTTCATCTTCACAACATATTATACGCGAATGAAATAAAATGAGACGAACTGCTGTGCACAGAGAGGATGAAAATTGAGCTTCGGCTATGCATTGAACCACGCGCAGGATCGCGTATAATATATACGCGCGCGCGAGAGAGCTCTAGCCGCATAGAGACGCTGTATATAATGAAAAGCTCGTGGAATAAACAAGGCGCGTCGCGCACTGCTCTTCGATGCTTTAAACAAAAACAAAAGACGGATTCGGTGTGCGTGGCTCTGGTTTTAATACAAATTGTATCGCGCGCGCTATATATCTTCTCTCTGCGTCTATGTCTCTGTATCGAGCGGTGGAAAAGGGGAGGGAGAGCGATGCGCAGCACTGATTAATCAAATGTCAATCACAAAAGCCTCGAGTCTAGTACAAACACCGCGTGCGCGTGTGGCCCGCACAACCAGGGCCATTATCAATCGCGACAATGGTCATTGTTCATAATCGCGCGCGGATCGCGAAACTCTTCTTTCGACGCTAATCATCGCCCGCGATGCAATTGTAACGTTCGGCTTTTACAAAGTGTATCGAGAAGAGCGAACTGTGCTGCAGCCTAGTTCTGAAACTTTGATGCCTTAAAGAATCGATGCCGTCTGCGATGCTGCTGCTACTGCTGCTGCAGCGGTTCATATTCAACGAAGAACAGATCAAGCTCGAGGCTTGTGAGCTAT